GGAAATGACAAGGAATCGAAAATACAGAAACTTAAAGTTGCTAAACATAAACTGCATCAAAGTAAATTACCAGGAAAAATAAAGAAAACGGTAGAGGAAATCAATGAACATGGAAATCCAGACCATGATTGCGTCGTTCTCCGGTAGACTTCTCACTAGTATTTTTGTTCTCTCTGCCAATTTCCCCTTCTTCTTCATGCTTCATTCTATTTACAGGGCGTCCTTTAAGCAAGTAACCTCTTAGGAGCAGTTAACGAAAATTGCTACCACGTCCTACGTGCATGTTGCAGTTTCTTCTTCGGTATCAAAACTGCACCCACGTTCCCATGATCTTCGACCTCTTCCACGGTTTAGAAACGGTTTCCTATGTGCGCGTTTAACTGTTCCCCTCTTTATGACCTAGCCGGGATTTCGATATCCACGCAGGTTAGCCTTCCTCTTGATTTTGATCTCTTGATCTCGAGTACTTTGAATTGCTCTTGGTTTTCCTTAACTTTAACATTACAAAATTTTAATTTCTCGAAAAATATTCTTCCTTCGATTTCTCGATTCTAATTCTCGATCATATTGTCACATGGTCGTCGAACGTATTTTCCAACTATCTTTCGATTTATCAATTTTTTAACTCAATCAAAATGGTTTTCGATCCTTTATCGATTTCTCACTAACAAAAGGATATTAAATTTGTAGTTTTTCACTGTTATCAACATCGTGAAATTCAACGTTTGACGTATGTGAGTTAATTTCATTTTGTCACTTATATTATGTGATGATGAGTTGAGATTTAAATATTATCTTTACATGAATGTTGTAATTATTTTTATTGCGTATAAAAATAAATATCGATTTTGACAGGTTTGACTCACATTCATATATGATTGTTTTGTTAGGCTCCTTACAAGAACGTTTTTATGATTAAAAGGTTTTATCAACTAATTAATTAATATTTCAACATATTTATGCTTTAGATTTGATAATATAATAGTGTGCACTATTTTCATTAGTGCAACCTAAATGTGTATCCCCATTATTTTTATTTTGGTCCTATAACTTTTATATTTTTTTCTATTCATAGAAATTTTGTCATTACTATTTCTACTCATCATTATAGTTTCTGTCTTTTTAAAATAGTTTTGTTTACCTTTTCCGTCGTTTGAACTTAATATTAATGTTTAGTTCTAATATCCTTTTTAGATAGAGAAAATAATTTATTTCACATAATCTTAATTTTTTTAAAACTTATTATATCCCCACATTATATTACAACATCAATATATATATATATATATATATATATATATATATATATATATAGTTTCATATAATAATAAAATTAAAAAATAATAATTTGTAATTGTAAATAAATAAGAATTATAAATATCAAAATTAAGAGGACTGTTTTTTATAACTAAAAACATATTTCAATGTTAATTTGATGCTAAAAAACTATAAAATAATTTAGTTAATAAATAAATATTTAATTAAGATAATTAAATTATTTATAAATAATTAATTCAATTAAGCAATGTATTTGTTGTTTTCTATAAATAAAATATTTGCATTTTTTATTTTTCTAGTGTAATCTGAACATAAAATTTTATATTTGTTTTCTTAACTAATCATTAGTTTTGTATCTATAAATTATTATTTACAGTACTTAATTATATATAAAAACATATTTAATATATTATGAAAAATATTATATTAGTTTTAAATTACGTATGGATAGGGGAAAGTGTAATTATTTTTATTTTACGTTATATTTTAATATATTGTAGTAAGTAAATTTAATAATATGAAATGTTTTATTATGTAATAAAGTTTTGTCTGGGATATATTAAAAGTATATTATATTATAATAATTTAAAATTATCATAATTTAAAAATATATTATATTATAATAATAAAAACTTAAGATATTAATTTTACAATTCGATATTTTAGGATTAAACATATATTTTTATGCATTTTTAACAACCTAAAAACGTATTCAACCAATGTATAGTTATAGTTTTACTATTTTTTTATAAGTTTAACATAAAAGAAAATGTTACGAAAGAAAGAAAAGAAGACATAGAAAATAATGAGATAATCGCACCAAACTGATGACAAAAATTAAAAATTAATAAAAATTATTATTATCCGAGCACACCACCGTTGATATAATATAAATTCAATTCATATAAAAATTAATATACTTTTAACTAAAAATCTTAAAATATTATGATTATTAACTATCAAAGTATCCACTGAAAAATAAAATTAGTCACTTTTTGCAACAACAGATTTATAAACTTTTCAAAATATTAGTTTCGAAATTTGTGCTATATATTATAATTTAAATATATAAAGCGACAACTAAATACTATCTAGAATAAATATAGAAAAAAAAATTATTAGGTGCTAATCTCGGTTCAAAATAATGATAAATAAAAATTGTATCCTCGAACATATCAAAATTGCGACCATGATACAGTCACTGAAATTTAAAAGATGTAAATAATATATATATATATATATATATATATATATATATATATATTATCTCTTTGCTGCATAACATTATTTTTATTCATAATACTATTATTTATATATAAAATATTATTTTGTTTTCTATTTATCACTTATCAAATATTTAGTTGAAACTATGTTGGTTCAGTTTAATTACAAATGTTTTTATTATCTATTTATATATCTATCATATAGGTTTATGATAAAGGAGCGTTAAATTTTTCTAACGTGGTCTATTTTATTTTTATCAAAATTAAAGACATGATTATTTGTTCTTAGAAATATTATATATTTATGATTTTCTAGAAAGAAGATGCAGAATTTGATATGGACTGGTGTATTGTATTGGTGAGAACGAAAGGTAAAGAGAGTGACGTGTCACAATCAGAGTGGCTCATAAGCAACAGTTGCAACACAACCAATCGTAGGATCCAAACACACGCCACGTTGACCCAAATCATAAGATGAGCCTATACGCATGAGATATATAAACGTCCAATTAAAAAAAAAAATGGATCGAATTTTTTTAGCATAAAATAAATACACGTATAAATAGAATCATATTTTTTTTATACTGTATTTGTTAATAGATAGTGTTTTTGGCCTTTTCCATTAAATAATAATTTTATTATGATTGATTGTTGTTTAGGTTTATAAATCCTAATTTAAAATTAAGATGGAGGATAATTTATATATATATATATATATATATATATATATATATATATATATGTATATTTTTATAGATATATTTTTCTTCGATGTTTTTAAAGAATAAAATATAACGTAATTTTTTTTTAAAGTGAATAATATTTTAATATAAAAACTGATATACTGATATTATAATAACGGAAACCGGAATAATCAAGTCTATTAAAATTAATATAAAATTTAAAATTTTAATTTGATAAATAAATTAATATTTGTATTGATATTTTGAAGAAATATGTTTTAAATTTATAAAGGCAATAATAATCTATTAATTTGTTTATCCTGAAACTTTGAAAGTTACAAATATGCTTTTAATTGATTAATATAAGTTATTGATAGATTAAATTGTAATTAAATCAATTAGAGGTATAAATTAATGGATTAAATATGGTAACGTAAGTTTTGACACGCATATTTAATCTTTTATCATACTAAATAATGTTTGAATCGAAAAATAAAAGTAAAATTGAAATATAATTATTTTTGAACAAAATATTACGTAATATCAGAAAAATTATATAATAATATTTGGACTCTCTCAAATATTGAAAATATTTTTTATTAAATATCCTTTGAAGTTACATAGAATATTTATCCTTCTTTGTGTTATCATAAATATCTTTAAGCTAATAAATAAATTAAATTACATGTCAAATAATCATATAAAGTTTTTCTACTCTTAGAAAATTTGTTTCAGTTCTTATATTTTAAATAAATTAATCGTTAAATTTAAAAAAATACAAATTTGACCTTTTAAAAAAATATTGCTAAATATCAATTTTAGGTATAAAATAAAATAAAATGATTTTTTATCAGTTTTATTAAGATTAAAATTCAGAATTAAATAAAAAAAATTATATATTTACAAAATTTGCAATATTGAATTATTAATTTAAAAAGTACAAGATCAAATACAAGTTTATGAAAAAATACATAGAGAATTTTTTTCCAAATAAAAAAACATATTTAATATGCTTGAAACTTATTTTCAATAAGAACTGTCAGATTTTCTGGTTATTGAAAATAAAAATAACAATTATGAAACAATTTACTATAACATAGAAAATTGAAATAAATTCAAAAATATATAAGAGTGGGTGGAAGATTAATGATAGTTTATAGATTTAATATTTTATTACTAATTTTATGTATTCTATTGTCCTAAAAGATATCATAACATAAAAATCATAAAAAATATTTTATTTGAAAATATAAAACTGCAAATCTTCATTCTTCCTTTTATTTTTACAAATCGATTAAAAATTTAAAATAAAAAAATCAAGTAGGGAAAAATTTAAATGTAAACTTATTTTTGAAAGAGACAGATTATAAATATTAATTATGATATTTTTAAAAATAAATGACTCAATTATACCCCCTTGTAATTTTTTTATCAAATTAATTTGATTAAAAATAAAAATTTTAAATTAAACATATTTCTAAAAATATAATAAACTTAACTTACGCGTAAAGATCATAACTAAGATAAACTTAATCTTAAAAAAGAAATCATAATTTAAAATTTAAAAACTAAAAATGATTTCAATTTAAAATTATCTTTTCATTATCGGTTGAGTATTAAATTTTGTAATATTATGCTTCACTTTTTTAATTTTTAATTAGTTATAAATATTTTATTGTTTAATTACAATTAAATTAAAAAATATTTATATACAACGTAGCTTTCCCCGAAAGCAAAAAACCGCGTGCCGCGGCCACAATCCACTGTTCTCGCTACGTAAATATTCCCAATTGAAATTCGCCACATCATAATTCAAATGCCATCAAGTTGGGTCAACGGCTTCAAAACCACGTGTTCGCCACGTGACTCCTTCCTCACCCGACAGAGACAACGACGCATTGGCCCTTGCGCGTCGCTTCAAGCATTCTAACAGCGGGACTCAAAACACACGCAAAATATCAACTTATTTAGTTAAATATTTTTACCTATAAATTTATTATTCAAAACTAAAATAAAAAATAATAAAAATGGAAAATTAATAATAATATTGCTCTGAGCTAGGTAATTTACAATACACAATATTTCATTTGAAATTAATCAGAATATTTTAATTTCGTGACTTTATTTTTTCCTAAAGTCACATTTCTATCTTATCTTGTATACTAATATTAACATTATTCTTTTACGTGACACCACAAAATACTCCTTCAAAAGCAAGTCGTCTGGAGCCACGCCAAGTAATTAACTTCAAATTACTCCTAAATTTGGTAATGATAAAGCTTAGATACACTTTTTTTAAATACATTTTGCTTACTTAATTCGAATACTATGTATAATTAACTTAATATGCATCTTTTAATCAAATATTAACTATTATATTTATAACCTAAAATATTCGGATTAATAAAAAACTCGTTAACAAATGTTGTGATGAAGAAGAATGTGTTAGTTGGAAACCCGAAATCAAACGTCGCTTCCATTACTCGTTGATGCGCACCATCCACTCACTTTCCTTTCTCTTTCCAGTTTCAGATTTAAGCGCTCTCTGCCTCCAACACTTTGCGTAGAAACTTTGAGACTTGGAAACTCAACGCGTCACACACTGAGTCAAGTATTGGAGACCAAAACGATGTCGTATGCGAGTAGAGATCTAGAGAGTGGAGGTGGTGCGAGCAAGAACGCCACCACCTACTCCGCTGCTCCCACTTCTTATGTTTACGATCCTGAAGTGCACTGGACCTCGTGGCTCGTGCCGCTTTTTGTGGCGGTTAACGTTGTTGTCTTCGTTGTCGCCATGTATGTCAACGATTGTCCCAGGAATAATGTCTCCTTTGATGCGGACTGTGTCGCCACGTTTCTGGGTCGCTTCTCGTTTCAGCCCCTTCGGGAGAATCCTTTGTTTGGCCCTTCTTCCTCTACGTAAGAGCTCAGTTATCCATTTTATTTCTTAATTGGTTTAACTTTTTCTTTTCGCTTGATGATGATTTTGGGATTGTTTGGTTTGTTGGGTGCTGAATTGGGAGTGGGGGTTGTTGTGATCTACTTGTATTACTGGCTTTGGTTTTGATTCCGATGGCATCAATTTCTATATGTTGTCTTCATACTAAATTTTGATCTTACAAAATTATTTTTTTATAAAGGAAATTCAGATTGGTAGAAAGTGTTTTAGGTCCTCAAATTTTGGTCGAAATTTGTCTTAGTTATTGTTACAGGTATAGTTATTGTAATTTATATATATAATTAGTGATTTTTGACTCTTGAAAAGGGTGAGGGATGAAATTCATCCATTATCTGGAACAGGGGACAAAAATTAGGACCAATTTTGAAAAAAAAAAAAAACTGAAACCTAACACAATCTTACCCTAAACAAAATGAATACTTGGATTTTCTGTCTTCTTTTATTTTCTTATATTTTTTACATTTTGGGATGCTTGCTTTGCTGTTGATAATTTAAATCACCCTTATTCTTCGAATTAAAGGTTGTAATTGATTTGTCTTTGGTGTTTATCAGAAGAATAATTAATTAATAAATAAATGAAGTAATGACACCAATTTTTTGGTCATCATGATGACCGGTTTTTTCATTGTTTTAAGTTGAAGATTTTTGCCGCAACTCTTGGCAAGTGGGGTGGTATAGAGATCTGATGAAAATTTACTGATTTAATTTTTGGTCCATTTATGAAGCTTAACAAAGATGGGAGCACTTCGGTGGGATGACGTTGTGAATCAGCATGAAGGATGGAGACTTGTCACTTGCATCTGGTTGCATGCAGGAATTGTTCATTTGGCTGCAAACATGTTGAGTCTGGTCTTCATTGGGATTCGCCTTGAACAACAGTTTGGCTTTGGTATATATATATTTTTTTTTCAGGTTATAGTGTGAATTATACAGAATTTGGAACCAAGACATGCAAAGTAGCACTGTTATACATTTAGACATCATCACTCATTTGGAAGTGTTCATCTTGTTTTGTGTTCTTCAAATTTTGCCTTCGAATGGTTATGACCTCACATTTGTGAAAATATTGGCAGTGAGGATAGGAATCATATACTTGTTGTCTGGATTCGGCGGGAGTGTTCTATCTTCTCTATTCATTAGAAACAACATATCTGTTGGTGCTTCTGGTGCTCTTTTTGGACTTCTTGGAGCAATGCTTTCAGAACTTGTCACAAACTGGAGTATTTATACCAATAAGGTGAGTATAGAGTCATCAGTTTCCATACCTTTTTTTATTCAGTGTGCTTGTTTTAGAAAGATTTTGACAAATTCCTTTATTCATCATCATGAATCTTGACACTTTAATTTTTTTTTACCCTTTTTAAAACTGAATTCATAAGCATCCTGATTAGTTATGGCCTTCTTAGTATTTCCATCAATTAGGTTTATTAACTTGCACATATGGTTAATACTTGGATAGTATGCTTAACAGTCATTTCTAAAGCTCCTAATACTCTCTCTGCATTTTTCAGGCAGCTGCTTTGTTCACACTTCTGTTTATTATTGTCATCAATCTTGCCATTGGAATGTTGCCCCACGTTGATAATTTTGCCCATATTGGGGGATTCCTCACAGGATTTCTCCTTGGTTTTGTTTTGCTGCTCCGCCCTCAATTTGGGTGGTTAGAACAGCGACGTCTCCCAGTCGGTGTTCACCTCAAGTCAAAATACAAGGCTTACCAATGTGTTCTGTGGATTGTCTCTCTTATTTTACTGATTGTTGGGTGAGTTCCTTGGTTAAATCTTCATAACTCAGATAATATTGCTGTCATGATCATAAATCAGCTGTTTTTGGTATATGAGAAGAAACTATTAGTTTGCTACATGATAATTGTATAAACTAAATCTTAAATTTCATCTTTAGAGATTTTGTCAGTTCTCATGTCGTGTTAGGAAATGGAAAACTGGTTCTTTGTTTGCTTAATTCACTCCACATCAACAATGCTAATTCTGTTCTTTGCTTTGCTTTGAGTTTTATTTGATGTTTCTTCAACTTATCATGCATATCTCTTGTTATCACAACAATATAGATGTTCTCTAATCATTGAATTTATTTGTTGAATGACAGGTTAACTATTGCTCTAGTGATGCTATTTCGGGGTGAGAGTGGATATGATCACTGTCATTGGTGTCACTATCTAACATGTGTTCCAACTTCTAAATGGAAATGCAATGACCCTTAAACAAAAGGGCATGAGCTATTTCTCATTATATATATAGCTATAGCTCTTACAATTTTATTTTATTTTAATTCTTGGTTGTTTCCTGACAAAAATCAGTTATCGAGTTGGCTATGGGTTTATTTGTGTTATAGATATATAAAGAAATTTATTTGTACATGAAATTCATTTGTCACTTCCCAATCGTATTCTGCCTTAACTTTTCTATTGCCTAATTCTTTCTGACTCTAAATTTATCTCTTCCCTGTAATCTTTGTAATGTATTTCAATGATGGTTTGGATAAAATGATTAAATTCTGTCAGGACTTTTGATTCTCCTCCACCTTGATAATATAAAAAGATATGGAGTCCGGAAACATGGTTCAAAACTGTCTTTAAGAGACCATTACCACTAGAGGGTCGTTACTTCACGTTCACACACTAGAACCTCGATCTAACCACAAGATGTTACTAAGTTACAGATAATTAACAAAATCACTTAATATCTATGGTGTTTATTTGGCTTTATACTTAGTTCCTTCATTATCCCTTTTCTCTTCTCCTTCCCTCTTTTACCTTAACTGAACCATCCACAACTAGTCACCAAGTTTAACAGCTTGGAGCTACTCTCAAATGAACTCCTCAAATAAAATAATGGTTAATATATATATATATATATATATATATATATATATATATATATATATATATATATATATATATATATATATATATATATATATAACTGAAGTTCACTGCTTACTTTGCATACAAAAACAATAGTGAAATGTTAACTTCACTTAAACAGTCAAGAATTAGTGATGCATAATTAGTTTAGAGAAAACATTGCAATGCATATCACATACTTATAAGATAGAGAGTATCACATGAAAAGTATAAAGGGTGAAATGATGAAAACAGCTGCAATTAAATAGAGAGCCACCACATGAAAGTGGTATTATGTTACCGTGAAATAGGAGTCCCACATGAATGGTCCAAGAAGTAAAAATGCACTACTCATCCTATTAGTAATATCTATATCTATAAACTTTCAATTTGAAGTTGAATTTTGATGCCATTAAACTTAATCAATCTCAATTTTATAAGAAAAAAATTATTATTCATTTTTTATTTTTTAAATTATCCTTATTATGTAAATAAAAATATATAAAAATAATATTAAGAAACAAAATGCCATAGAGCTATTTATAACATATTAGACAATCTAGTTCAGTTTGATAAGGATGAAAATATATTCACCAAATTTTAATTGTCTCTAAATAAAATTAATCTGAAATAAAAATTTTAGATACTAGTAAATTATGTACATAGAAGAAATGAAATATCAAGTAGCATGTTATTTTTTTTAGTGGTATGCTCTCTTTCACTCATTTGTCGGAGTAACTTTATTTTAAATAAGTTTGATTTTTCTCAAATTTATAATAATCTCACAAATCTCCAAATTATGAGTGATCCACAAATTAAAAAAGTGTTAATAAAAATGTGATTACTAATCATATTTAAATATAAAAAACTAAATTTAAATCCAAATAACCTTCAAATAAAAAAATATATGAATATAGAAATTTCTAAACATAGGTATTTTTGAAAAAAAAGAAAGAAAAAGAAAAAGAAAAGAGAAGTGTCAAAACACCTACATGACGAAATTCAATCTCCTATTTTACTCTTCATATTGGTCCAAACTAGAATCTCATAAGAAACAATCTCTGACTCTGGTACCATTAGCACTGGATATAAATATAAACAAAAGGACAATATAAAATACAGAAACGAACAGCATATGTAAGTCCTTTTCGACAGTTCAATTATATTTATCAAGTCATTTGTCGTTATATAATTTTCAATATCTATTTGTGCTAACTCTTCTAAAATTCATTAATTCACTTGTCATGAGCAGTAAAGCAGTATCAACTTATTCTCATTAATTGTATATATTTTGTTCAATGTTTTTTATGAAATTAATTATTACGAATAAATATTTAAATAAAAGAATAATAAATTTTTGTGATTAATTTAAATTATAAAATATTTCAATTATATTTTTAATATATGCTTAACTTTTTACATTGATTATTTATTTGAAGTTAAAGTATTAAATTCTATTTTATATAATTTTACTTTAGTTTTATTATTAGTGTAGCATTATTTATGGTATTATATAAGAAAATGTTAGCATTTTTTTCTTGTGTTAAATTATGTTGGCTAAACACAATAATTAAGTAATTTATAAATTCAACTGATTATAATAAAAATATGATAACAACTACATCCTCAATTTTTTTAAAATTGAAAACAATAAAGAAATACAAAAAATGACTGGCTAAACTTTTTATGATAAAAAAAATGCATTACTAAGTGTTTCTTTTATTAAAAAAAAACATTAAAATTTTAAATTTTGTCTTAGTTATTAATTTTTTTTTCTTTTACTATTGTCATGAGTAACTTTTTTTTCCTCTTGCAATATACAAACTAAAAATCTAGTTTAAGCTAAATTCGTTGTGTTCGGAGAATAAGTTGCACAGCTGAGTTTAAACTAATATACAGTAACATGGATTTATTTGGTACGGTTTAAATCATATTTAGAGTATTGTTTTGATAAATTCTAGATTTTATTGAACAAGAATATCAACACTATCTATGTACAAAAATCATCTATAAAGGTTGATAAAACAATAAATCTAGGAATCTTCATAGCAAAATAACTCATCAACCTACACTTGTATGCAGTAGGCCAAATTTATAAAGAAAAGTCCTTGTCAAGTAAATATGTCACACTGTAACAATCTTTTTAAAAAGGGTCAGGTTTAATCCTACCAGAATCCGGTCTACTGCTTACGTTCACCTCTATTATTATAATGTCACAGGATGAAACTTTAACTTCATAAAAATGAACATACATTAGTAAACTACAATCGCAAAATCCAATACACACACAATATGACATGTAAATCATACAAATTGAAGCTACATTAGGAAAAACTACAACTTATACATTGAACTGTGTTGACAATAATCTGATGCAAATTGACAGAATTCTATAATACATGAACCGACATGGACAATGCATAAACTACAATTGATTAAAGATAAGATGATCCTAACACGTCAAAACAGTAAGGAATACGACATAAAATTCAGTAAGTTGACACATTGTATTTCTTATAGGTAGCAGTGCAAACTAATTCATGCCTTCAAAGGCCCACAAGCAGATGAAGATCAGCTTAGTCAGCTGTCCAACTTTGCTCCACAATTTCTCTCACTCTTCTATTGTACTCGCGCTTGTTCTCACTGAACATTCGAGCTGCTTCTGAGTTCGCAGGAGAATTTGGGTTGGGATCACAAAGCAATGACTGCAACAGTAATAATTACCTTTCAGAAATAATTATAAACATGCTTACTACTACATAGCAAGGATGTCAGAGTAGAATCATGAAGATAGCAATTTAGTCATGCAAAATTACTTCTCAACCAACCTGGGATATAAGATATCACAGCCAGGTTGTGTATCAGAATGGCAAACAATAATGTACACGTTATCTCATCCATAATAGATGGTTTTTGTATATGCAGTCTAAGGCAAAGATGTGTTTTATACAGGCTTCACCTACAGACTTTGTCTAAGTCTCGATTTTATGTTTTGGGAGGGACCCCTTGTACCAGTTCATTAAAAGGATATACTTGTTGGGTGATAAAAAAATGATGTGCACTCTTGCAACAAGAGCATACCGATAGCATGATTTGTTACAAACCCAAAAAAGGAATAGAAATGGAATTGAAGATAGGAAATAACTGAATGATTATTATTAGAAAATGAAATCTGCACAGAAAAAGGAGGAATATCCTTCCAAAGGTTTTCCCATGACAATGAGTTGCCCCTTTCACAACAGAGCTAAAGCTCTGTTTTATTAGACTATAACCCATTAACTGATGATCCATATAATCAACCCCCCCGTAACTGTTTAAGCTAACTGCACAGCTAATAATGTCCCTAAACTATATAGAAAATTTGCCTTATTAAATAACTCTAATTAGTTGGCACTGCAGGGTCTTATTTCTTAATATTACTCAGATGCAGGCATATCATGATCCTAACACAGGGAAACATTGGAGTATGGTGCGTACCAGAAGTATTTAATATGCTAGATTTTAAAATAATATTTACATATGCAAAACAACTGATACATGTGCCAACAATGATCTTGTGGCGTAGTGGTAGTAGGCACACAATTTACAAGGAGGCACCCCATACCAGGTTCAATTCCCATTGTCCAACAAGTTCCAACACTCACATTTTGCCCATCCTTCACATACCATCATCATGCCCTTTTGACAAAATCGATCCCCACTCCTCCCCAAACATAAATAAAAACTAAGAAAAAGACTTAAAAGAGTGTTCTATTAAAAAGTGTCCCACATTTCAAGGCTTAAACTACAAAATCACACTACAAGTGACAGTCATCAGTGGGATTAAGCATTTAGCAGGGATTTGAAAGTCCCAGCAGACAATATAAAAAACATTAAAAATTGAGAGCTAGTAACTCAATAAAGTAGCTTGAGATTTGTAAAGAAACAAGACAATGATAATTTTATAAAATTTTCGTGTTCTGAATTGCATACTCCAATTTTGTTAGAAATATAAAATTTATGGAGAAAAAGGAAAGCAAAGATAACATTACAAGTAAAGACATGAATCAGCAAACAACAAGAGAAAATTCACAACAAAAAATGCCTTTAAGTAGATAACTTTTTAATAAACAAAAACACTTAAGTAAATTTGAAGACCCACAGGATCTTACATTTGTTTATGTGAAATGTTGGTGTTAAATTATGTCAATATATGTGCTTGATATCGTCTTTTTGTAATATATTAACAATGAAATGAAAAGCATTGTAGAATTGTTACTATATTATACAAGATAATACCTGGATAGAAGTGAGAATAGCAGCTACATCATATATAGGACTCCATTGATTTTGTAATATATCCAAACAAATACTTCCATCCGCATAAACTTCCCAGAGAAGAAGAAATGACATTAGTAGCTAGATAGGTAATTTATGGATAAGAACATTAATCTTTTCAACCTAAAACTTACTGTTTGGATGAAACATTCGGGACACAAATCTAACAGTTGGTGGCTTGTTAGGATAGTCCTCGGTAAACTGGAGAGTCAACTTAAACGTGCCTGAATAACTCAAAAATATGTAGACATTATTGTGATAAAGTTAAGATTATCTGACTATAAGCAACAAATTTCCATTTAACTTTTCCAAACCATAATACAGCTTCATGAGGAAAAAAATATTTAGTTCAATGATCTAACAAAGTATCTCTCCCTTAATGTAAATTCAGTGTCTAACATTAACATAACAACAAAAGTCATATTCCATTGTCCTTACCTATGACAGAAATATAAGCCAATATAAAAAAACAACTTAACACTAAGACAAGACAATATGATAGGCAGAAATTATAATTAATACTTCCATATCAGAAACGAAAAAGAAAAAATGTGACAACAAAAGATAGGAGCCTTGGTAAAAGCAAGCTCATCTAACATGACAGATTCATTAAAGTCGCATGCACTGCACAAGATGGTTAAATAACTACGTCGATACATGTACAGGATTGTTCCAAGATAGGAGCCGTGGTAAAAGGAAAGACTTACCTCCATCCCATGGAGTATCATCAGGACTGCAATCCAAAGCAGACAAGAAAGCAGAAATTGCTTATCCATTCATAATTAAACAAAGTGGAAGAAAAAAATATGAAAGAAAACAAAGTGACTATATCATACAAGTAAACAGCATAGAGGATCTTTTATTCAATTCAACTAACCCAAATATGACAGCGTTCCACAGCATTATGTTGTTATCCTGAGGGGCACCACTGATTCCTGCAGGTGGGTCTTGCTGCAGCCTCTTGAAATCTCTCATGAGCCTCTTCCTAGCAGGAGTCGACATTGCTGCCACGTAGAAAAGCTAACAGCCACAAAGAGAAACCAAAAACGACTTCAATTTTCTTTACAACAAGAAAAAAATAAAAAAGAGAAACGAGACCTATTTCACCACTATACGCCGATTCAGATTCCAACACAACCAAACACCTGGAAAATGAGAGGTAACAAACACGAGGAACAACACCTCACACCAAAAACAGAAAAAAATAAATAAATCAAAACTTCATCAATCTCGTACTAAAGCTTCGTCTAAAACAGAACAACAAACCCCAAAATTAAAAAACCAGTGGGAATTTTCAAGAAACGTTAAAGAAAAAGGGGATTTGATGTAGATCCACCCTCCGTAACAATCATCCACCGTTCAGGTCATAAAAACCTCAAATTCAAAGAAACAAGAGGAAGAAATTAAATAAAAAATGATTGAAAAGCAATTGAATTGAAAAAAGAGGAAAAAGGAGAAGAAATCAAATCACCCGTTATGCAGATTAGCCGGAAGTATGTCGGGATTGAAAACGCAGGAGTATTAAGGGAATGGATCGAAAGCGATGGGCGGCGAGAAAAGGTTATTGCTTGGCTCTTACGATATTCATTCTCTTTTCTCAGAATTTAGAAGAAGGGTGTGTCTATTTGTATTGTATGGGTCTAATCACCCCTGCCTTTAAAATATCCTATATATTTGCTCCATTCTTTTCTTACTAAATGCTTCAATCTTTTTAAATGTTTCTCTCTTCATTTTTATAATTTCTTTGTTTTCATTTCTGTAATTTTTAATTTCTTTATTACAAAAAAATAATACTGAATATTATCATGATATTATTATAAATTAAAAATAAAACTAAAAATCATGAATGATGATTATGGGTATCTTTGGAAGACTAGTGTTGTTTTAATTTTGAAAATAAGATTTAACACCAATGATTTCTTTTAAATCAAATTTAGACTAATATGACATTTTTCATTATCTCAATCTTTTTTAAGCCTTTCATTAAGCTTGAAAAATATTATTAACAAAAATTATGATTTATTGAATTAAACTGATTTTGTTTCAGTTTATTATTTTACTTTTAACCTAAATGAACTCAAGTAAATTCAACTTATAATGTTTATTTTATAAAATAATAATAATAGTTATTTAAATTATAAAAAGTAATATTACTGTATTAATATATGATTTGAAAATGAATCTATTTATTTTAAGTATATGATTTAAAGTTATTTTTTTAATTTAATAATTAATATAAATTATTAATTTAGATAATTAAATTATTAGGAAATTTTAATATTTAAGATAAAGAATACAATTTTATGCTTTTCTCTTTGAATAAATAGATCTCTCTTCTAATAGTTTATATATCAAACCATTTATATTTAAAATAAAATCTATTTTCCTTAATATAACATCATATTTAAAAAAATATATTTCAATTTATTTAGATAATTTTTTTCAAAGAAAATTATTATTTTGGTTATTTTACTTTTTCAAAAATTTATGGTTGATTCTTGTGCTTTCAAATTAATTAGTTTGTTCTCTAATTTTAACAAATATACGAGTGTTTTTTTTTTCTGTACCTAAATTTAACACTTAGTTATCAACTTTTACCAAAGGAATAAATGTGATTTTAACGTTTATACCTAAATTTTGATATTTAATCATATTTTATTATTATTATAAAGTTGATAAAAAAAATTAAGTTCATAGTTTTTAATTTAAGAATTAATTTGTTAATTTAAAAAAAAATCTTTTTCCAAAAATACAATGATTAAAACATTTAATTTTTATTTTTATATAAATCTGTTATAGATTTTTTTTTTAAATTAGTCCATCAGTCTAAGTATAATAAGCAAGATATTTTAGTTTATTTTAAAATATAAGATAAATTAAGTAAGATAATTTTTAAAGGAATATTTCAAATAATTATTATTTTAAATATTTTAAAAAAAATAATAATAATAATTTAAAAGAATACAAAAATGGCGTCGCCCGGACTCGAACCGGAGACCTTCAGTGTGTTAAACTGACGTGATAACCAACTACACCACGACACCACGTTGACGAAGTTTAAAGTATTAAATATTAGTCATAACTTGTTTAATTTACCTAAAATTATAAGAGTTTAAGAATTAATTTGAGAGTTTGAAAATCATATATAATTATCAATATAGATTGATGTATGGAAAAAAATATGTGTCACTTAATTAAATGGTTTAAGATTTAAAGATATTATAAAATAAATCATGTTAAATCACAAATATTAAACAGAAATACATTTAATTTTTATATATAGTTTAAATGATTATAATAAAAATATCAAATCAAACTTTAATTAAATCAATTTACATTTAATTTATAATTTAAATAGTTATTTAATCAAAGATAAAATCAAATAGAAAGACAATAGGATCAGTATTTTAGACTTAGAAAATTAAATTTTAGGATGACAAATGAAGATTTTAATCGTTTGTCATAAACAAAACAACGCTTGAATAGCGTAATTTTAACTTTTTACTTTTTTGTTTGTTATTTGAGTAATTCAAGTTTGAACTCAAATTTTGTTTGCGTATTAAGATTTTCATTTTGCACCCCTCATTTTACTTCTCATATCTCTTTTTTACTTTTAAATTTATTAGAAAATCTTTACAAGTTCTTTGCAGTTCTTTTTACTCGTTATATCGTCCCTTTCCAATGGACATTCCTCCATAACTTTTTTTTCATTATTTTTGTTTTTTCAAAATTTATATTGTAATAATAATATTATTAATTTCAATAAAAGATAATAATATCTCTATTTTTAATATAGAAATAAATTTGTATATTATTATTCTTATTAATTACTGTAATTAAATTATTCTTATAATAATAATAAAATTATTATTATATTGATGAAACTAAAGTTATAAGAAGTATAGATTTAATTTTATTAATAAAATCGAACTCATATTTCTTTTATAGGACTTTAATTTAATTATAATAAAAATAAAAAATTGTTTTGAATTTTTTTTCTAAATTTTAAAAACATTGAAATTGTATATTTTATAAAATCATGTCGTCTTACCTATTTTTATATATTTTTTAATTTTACTTATTATGATAATATTTTCTTTTAAAAATGCCAGTTTAATAAAAAACAATAATTAACAATGATACTTAGTTGATACAATTAACCTAATTAGAATGATTACATGATGACACCACAAAATTATACTTTAAGTATGATAATATGTTTAAGTTGATTGGTTGGTTTGAAATGACTAAAAATAAATTAAGTGAGATTAAAAAAATCTATGATTTAAATTGAACCATTAGGTTTATATATCAACCCATTTTATAAAATAATAATAAAATTTTAAATAAAAATAATAATATTATCATTAAAAAGAGATTAATTTATTTTAAAAATAAATATAAATTTTTTTATAATATTAACTTATTTCACGATCTAATAATTAAAATAAAAAATGAATGATGATAATTAAGAATAATTTTTTAACTTTTATTTTGAAATTAAATATATATATTATTTTTATAATTTTATATATTAAATAATTATATTTAAAATAAAAATTAATTTCATTAATATAATTTTAATTTTTAAAATATATTTTTAATTTTTATTTAAATTTTTTAATTAATTATTTTATACTAACACCTTAATAATTTTTTTAATTTTCAGGTTAAAATTAATTCTTTAATATATTAATTTAACATATATCAGACTGATTCATTTAAAAATATAAATTAAACTCACTCATCAATTTTTTTTCTTAACTTATAAGATTTGGTCAAATTAGATAAGACGGCTATTTTACCAATATTATTATATTAATAAATATATTCAAAATATGACCGGTTAAATAAATATAAATATATAGATATTAATTCACATGAAAATATTTAAAGATATTATAATATATAAGAGAAGAATGAACACGCTGAAAAGAAATAATAAATGGTTGAAGCTAAAAAGAATTTAAATAATTGATTTTTAAATAAAAATTATTTTAATCAGTCATATTTATAAAAATATCATAAAAAGATTTATTTTTATCATTTTATATTTATTAATCATTTTATTATATAATTTTACTAAATTCTTATAATTCAGTAAATTAACTTAATAACTTTCAATCACATCTATTTACTTTTTTTTAGTTTTTAGCCAGAGTTACTTAGTCAAAGCCTTATCATGAAATTACATTTTTTTTTACAGCAAGAAATTCAAAATCAGATTAATTCCATTGCAATAAGATATGTTGAATACAATGTGGTATTACAGGAAATATACGAGAATCAGAGATGAAATTACAAACAACTATTTATAATTATGAGCTCATGCATTTCTGTGTTAAATTATGTTAAAAGTTATTTGTGTTAAATTTTCCATATATTGAGCTTCAAAGGTTTATATAATCTTCATAGCACAAATTAAGGATATTCATTCCATAAATTCCCATGTTTAATTATCTGACAAGTAGCCACACATTAAAATTCTCAGCACCAAACTCAATCACCAACCATGTATGAGTCCTATTCATCCTACAAATCATTCCAAACCCACCGAATTTATCAGCAGAGTGTTATGCCCCTCCTTCATATTAATTATGTTTGGTGGTTCTTGGATCCATAAACTATGGTCTTACCCATCCTTGAATGTCTCAGTCCTATTCTTTTGACGAGGTGTTCCCATTAATTAATCAAATTATTAATGATGATGCCATGAAACTTTCCAAATCTTTGTACCTTTTCCATTTTTTTAGGTTCATGTATATGTCACACCATTATATATGATTCACGTGTTCTCTTAATACGTTTAGTTTGTCATGGTACCACATGTTCACAACAGGTGAAAAACAAATAAACTAGTTCATGATTGTATGATCCCTTTCTAAACTTTTTCTTTTCTTTTCTACAGGTAGTTTTATGGGTTGATTTGTATTTTCCAATTCAAGTGAATTATGATTATGCTGATAGAAAATCTGGTTTTTGACACTGTTTCTGGTTGTTACACTAGCAGTTTAACAGTTGATATCATAGTGATTCAAATGAGAGGTTATTGATCTTTGATATGATTGACAAAAGTAAACGATTATAATGAAAACAGTGACAGAAAGGTGCATTTTTAAGTTGCCATTTGATAAAAGGTAGATATCAGAAAGGGAAAAGTGTGTCAGGGTTGGATTGCTGTGGTCCAAAACTAGATCACAGATACCTACAAGGTCCAACCAACACAAGTGAAAGAGAGATTTTTTTTAAGCATGTTGGCTTCTTGTTAGTGATTCAATTTCTAATTATATGAATTAAAGAGATATTGTCAGGAGGGACAAAATTTATTTCAATGATTTCTAAATCTTGAAAGAAAATAGTGTTTTTTGGACATTTTTTCACTTTTCAAGACCATTTTATGTGACTAAGCCAAATTTATAGACTAGCATTCAAGGGAAGTTCGAACAGAGAAACAAACACACCTTTAACATCCAATTATAGGTTTGGAGATATTCTTGGTAAAAAAAGACGAGATTAGAGAGAACCAGATCTAATGGGAGCAACTACTGTTTCTACATTATTCTCATCAAATTGCATGCCCTAGGAGGAGCATCCAAGGCCACAGTTCCCTTTCATAGTCACAAGAGAAACAAAATCACAAAGTAAAATGGAACAGAACAAAACAAAAGGAAGGAGGAGAGTCATGCTGTCTCTTATGTCATTTCATGTGTGCAATCTTTTGTCCTTTTGTGTTGGTGTCCATGTCTGTGAAATGGTCCACCGAAAGGCAAAACTATAAAGAAAGCTAAGATATAGTTTTCCTGAATTCACGTGGAATAAATATAACTGGGATGAATTCACATTGGATAGATAAAAAAATAGGAATTTTTTTTTCCAGATATAGAAATAAAAATAAGAATACTATGCAAAACATATCATATCATCTTTACTAATTAGTAATAGTTTTTTTAACTCGCTTATCTCTCCAGAAGTTAAAACTTTTTTTCTTTTTCTGAAATTCATTTGTTGATAAATACTTAAAGATCAAACTTTTAATCACAGATTTTGTTACAATATCTTCACACATGATTTTTTTTGTTCACACCAAAATTACCTTTTTTGTGCACCAAATGTTGCTTACTTTGATACTGAGACTGATACAAACATATACATTTAATGCCAATGGGAAATCAAATTGGAGAAATTGCTGGCAGCTATTTGAGGAAAAATCTCGGAACTCCTTTATGCAATTCATTTGGAAGGAAAGTATTTGGACTTCAAGTATAATTAGAGAAATGAACCCACAAAACTAGTTTATTTAAGTGAAAATGTATCAAGACCACGTCAAATAGTTCTTAGCATTAAGATTTATAGTTTCCAGACTAATAAATTACCATCAAAACGAAAAAAACAAGAAACTGTTTTACAATATTGGACTCCTCTGATGATAAGACTCTTCCTGTTGAAGATGAAAGATTCATTAATATGCTTTTGTCTGTTTCCTGATTCAATCAGATTATTCTACACAAGAAAATTAACAGGATATGAGCACAAGATATAAATTCAGGATTTGGTAGCTCATATGTGTCCCAAAGAAAAGGTTGTTTAAGCATCATTGTATCATGAATACGACAGGTTCCTATTGCAGAAGATTCCATCACAAACAACCACTTTGTCATTTTGGCAAGTGATAGCTATTAGTAGATTAGCACACTATAAAAAATTGCAGAGATCTGACAAACTGCAGCCATGTTCACTAGGAATTTTGAAATAAACTTAGTTCGTCACCACATTGGAATAATGCTAACATGCTAAATGATGAAAATATAATGCTTGAATTATGCATAGTTTTATGAAGTTTGATGTAGTACACAGTAGTTAGTTTCTATTTTAGTTATTAAAAGATTGAAGTTTTGTAATATAGGCAGCACGAATACGTATAAAAATTCTTTTTAACCGAACACATCATTGTTAATACATGTTTCACCCTGTGTCTTATTTTTAAATTTTGTTTAACATTATACTTATTTTCGTAGGAAGGGAAGGGACTAGTTTAATGTTACGTAGCTTCTGATGAATCACAATCAAAACCAGCACTGAGAACATTCAAAATATGTTATATTTCAACATAACAAAATTCAGTAAAAACATACAAAAACATGTATTTCAACATAACAAAATTCAGTAAAACTCAATCACGAGTCAATAAAGGTGGCCTTTGATGGAGTGGGCTTAAAGACTATAGGAGAACAGGTCAAATACTTACATCCTAAAACTGTTGTCATACACAGAAAACCCAAGCAAAATAAACTAATGTCTCTTCTATTTTTTGTTTTTCTGGGGATGAGAGAGGGGACCTCAATTGTGTTCATTAACAAAACTGTGATGTCACCTTAAATTGGCACTCCCAATTCTGTTCAAGCTGCTGTTTGTGGTAGGGTAGGCCTTGCTCCTAAAATCAGAATCCCTATCTGAACTAGGTCCTGCATCCCAAAAACCCTGAAGAGACCTTCTTGTGGAACCATATCTCTCAAACTCCATTCTTTGCCTTGGTGCACTATGTGACCTAACCTTGGCTCTTGAAGATTCAGTGTTTGACATGTAATTAGGATGACCAGAATAGCCACTGAAGACACTCCATGCACACTCACTCTTAGTTGGCGTGAATGGACCTCTCCTTGCACCACTTCCATGTCTAGAGGAAGCAGAAAATGCTTGAGGACTATCCTCAACATTTCTCAAAGGTGCTTCTTCTTTTCCCTTGTGAAGTTTAAGAGAGCCAAGGGGTTGAAACTCCCTTGAAGAGAGACTTGGATATAGAGTTTTTGAAGAATGTTTTGATGGAGACTCATGTGCCACAAAATTCTCATTGTAATAATCAGAAGACAAATAATGATGTGCTGGCTGAAATGAGCTGCCACTACTATGGTGTGAGTTCAAGTGTGGCTTCCAAGTATCCACTTCTAGAATCTTGTCACTCTTCTCATCATCAAGGTGCCCATTTTTCAATGAACCATCTCTAGTTTGGCTCCAAGAATTTTCTTCCATCCAATTGTCTAACCAATGGGAACCAAACCGGGTTTTCTCCAGGTCAACGTCCCTAAAATTTGCATTGGAACTACATCTCTGCAAGTTGAAAATGGAGAATGCATTTAAAGGGAAAATCATATTAATAGATTCACTATCTAAAGACTCATAAAATCTTGTATTTGTAGGAAGAACCATGTGTACCTTGAGAACAGATCCATCAAATTTTGTACTATAGGCACAAAGTGAGTGCTGATAATCTTCAGGGACCTACAATTTTTAAAAATGAAATAAAACTGTTCAAAGAAAAGACTAATGGTTATCATGATCCATTTTTTAATAGTAATGAACTACCGATCAATAACCAATCTTTCAGGCACGATATTTGATGAGTCATATCTTAACGATTTCATTACCACAATGGCATGATCGAACCTAAAGATGATCTAAAGAAGCATGCTCAAGCACCGGTTTAATTTGCAACATGCTGCTTTGTACAGGATGGAAAGCTATTCTGTAATAGATTCATAACTGTAACATTGGTGGGGTGATAGAAAAAAGAAAATAGATAAAGAATTAAAGTTTGAAGAAAGTGAGATGCCATCACAAAGCCCCTCTAACAAGTTCCTTAGATAAAGATGATCATGTAATGGCAACAATTAAAAGAACAAAAATGTATATATGTTGACTTTGCTTACAGGGTAATGAGAAAGTGAAGACTTGAAAGAATGCATATTATCTGACAAGTTCCCACGTGTAGCACGTGCCCGGGACTGCAGTCGCACCAAAGTCTGCATGCGTCTTAGCATATCTGTAGTTTGCTTTCTCACAATGTGGCCTCTCACCAACGCTTGCAACTTCACCAATGCCTTAAGTGCTCTCAAAGCCCTCCTTGCCTTCCAAATCGCAAAAACATCAGTAAAAATTAAAACTTCCATCAGATTTATTTCAGGAGATATGAGAAGCAATTAAAGAAGATAACACATCGTTGCTTAATTTATAAAAGACTTTAGTTAGAACAAATTAACATGTAAAGCGTTTACAGTGTCATTTGATCATACATTGTTATGTTTCTTTAAAATGTTTAAAATCAAACTCATAATAAAATCATGAATGTCAGAAAGGTGAAGAAAATTAAAATGAAAAAGACATGAGAAAGTGGGGGAGGAGAGTTAAAGTTGATGGGTGTAATCATTAGAAAACATAGATACACAGTGGAAAGCAATCCATTATTAATGCTCCTTTATGTTCATTGAAGGTTCCAATGTCGCATGCCCCACCATGGTAGGACGGCAAAAGGTGAAAAATTTAAGTTCAACGAATGTTGTAGCCTTAATGTTACTTTCAGTTTCTTTTAGAATGAAAACAAAACATCACAGCCTAACTGCTGGTCCGTGTGTACTAAAAAAAGAGTGGCTTCCTCTCACGTGAAGGTTAAAAGTAAGGTGTAAAAGATCACTTTTCCCTTTAACCCCGATAAAAGCGTGGCTTTTCACTTTCGGCTTTTCATTTGTCAACCCCAAGGGGAAACACAAGTTTAACAGTAAGTACCATTTTTTAACAAGAAAAATAGATGATTTTATCCCAGTTGAGTAGAACTATTTTAATACCGTTAACTATCCAAGGTCATAACAGAAACATTTTCATGTAAAATTCTCCATGACAGGTGATCGATGTAAAATCCTATTTTCATGTTGAAACTGCTAAAGAAACCATGAAAATGGTGAGGATTCTGGTCGAATCCTTACTCATTTATATCAACCCACAGGAGTTCAATCAATGCACCCCATACCATACCATACGAAGCCAATACAAAAAAAAACACAAGTTACCAACTTGGCAGCGACCCCCCAATTACTTTCATTAAGTAAAATGTAGGAAGCCTAACAACCAGCACTTAGGTCCATGACCTATGAAACATGGTGAGTAATGGGTTGAAGCAGGGCCACTTCACATTTGGTGTTGCTTTTTGGGTACAAAGGGACATTCTACTATGGCCACCGGAAAGGAAAGTATCATGGCTCACCAAAATGTGGGGCTCACTCATATTCTCACTCCTACAAATTACCCATTTTCTATTTCTCGAAACTTTTTTTATCCCTTCATCCTGGTGTTGTCACAAAATATAGTCCCGGAACAGGTCACTTTGAACTGAATGCAGAAACCTCACAGCACCACACTACCACATTAGTCTCACTGCAACATTTTCCCAAGGACCCAAATCACACATAAGCATTACGACACCAAAAAAGTACACGACAGGAAGCAGAACAGAACACACCCCACAACACAAAAGTGACTCAACACACGAAAATTGCAGCGACCACGTGATGATGCCAACACATGTGGCAGTCAACAGCGATAACATTGAAAATCAAATCAAATATGCGCTACGCCTAAAAGATTTGGAATTCAATAGCATCCAAAACTAAAAATCCTTAATTTCTTCTTAAAAATTATCGAAAATTTTATACTACAGAAAAAAATCACACTCTTAAAAATTAGTAAGCACCCAAGTGGGATTTTTATATTTCTATCCAAGTGAGATTCTGTAGATTTGTCGGCGGAACCCAAAATTCCCAAGTCCACACACTGCATCCACAGTCTACCAAAGTTTTGCCTCAAGCTAACAAGAAAGAAAAATGCTATTTCTTCTTATTAATATGTATCTATGTCAGGTTTTGTCCTTAATTATCAATAATTGTAGGATTTTTCATTAAAAAATATTTAAAATCACAATAAATACATTATCTTTATGATGCAGATTAAGTTTGATCGGAAGCAGGGAAGGCATGAGTGTGAATCATGGGAGGGAACAGGTCTCTTTGGGATAGGTGAAAAGTTTAGGAAAAGCGAAACAGCGTTGAAAATGAAGCAACATTTGACCCGGGTTTGCTTACCGAGAAACAGGATATGGAGGAAAAATTCCATTTTACCGAGAAAAATTAATTAGGGAAAAAGAACAGGGAATCAGACTCAGAGAGTCAACAAATTTGAAATTAACTGACACGCTGTAAACGTGGGAGAAAATTTAAAATAAACTCAATTCTTATAATAGTTTTCTTTGTTAATCCACAATTCTTCGTTAATATCTCTGAAATACTCACATTAGAGATAGATTCATCAAATACTTTCAACAATTTACGAATAAAAAACAATTTGATTCAATTTTTCAACATTCATAACCTTAAACAACCGTAGATGGCTATTTCACTTCCCAAACATACTTAAAAAAGAATATGAATTAAATTAAATTACTATTAGTATAAAAAAATAGCATTCCATGACAGATGGTGATGCATTATTATAACAAGATTGGTAACTTTCGTTACAAGTATTGTATAAAAATAATTTTAAATTAAATAATAGTAAAAATTGATTAAATTAAAAAGTTATTCTCTTTTTACTATGTAAATTTCTTTTATATTTTTTACTATGAAAAAAATACCGGAAAAGAAAAACTTGATTTTCAATTTTCTCACGTACCAAGTAACCTCGGAACGCCGACTGAATCTTCACGGCGGCGGCGGTATCCTCTGCCAGCCTCCGAGAATGCGCCCCTGTGGCGGGTCTGCCGGAGGCAGGCCCAGTTGCGCTGGTCAGTCTGACGACCTCGGCTGCGGCGTGGGCGGCGGCGAGAGCGGCCTCGGCGACGGCAGCGGTGGCGGCGGCGACGGCGATGGCATGCTTGTTGGCGTCCAAGGAGTTGGAGAAAGGAGCAGAAGATGTTGAAGAGTCAAAGTTGTTGTTAAGTGAGGACAACGTGGTGGACTTGTACCTCGTACTGTGCTTGACGAAGTTCCAGGATTTCTTGTCTTTGGCGGGTTTGGGAGCCGACCCGTCGGAGGGTGGCGGGTTGGGGTGTTTCTTGGCGCCGAAGAGTCGCCGGAGAAAGCCCATGAGGGGATTCAATGCATTGGAAATGAATGAGAGAGAATGGCAAAGAAGATAAGAGTGTGGAATGGAAGTGGTTGAAGAGAATGAGAAGGAAGAGAGGACTTAAATGGACCAGTTTGGAGGGTTGCACATTTGGAAATATGTTCTGTGTTTCATCGTTTCTTTGTTCCTTCATTTCCACGCGACTTTAACTCGCCACGCGCTCTTTCAAATACACTAAGTATTAATAGATGTAAATTTTCTTTTAATCATTATTATATTAGAAATAGTTATTTATTGTCGAAATTAATGGTAGTATTCATAACATAAACCTTTGAAACATATATTTGTTTTACGAACTACACAATCTAGAATAATATTATAGATTCTTTAAAAATATTAAATTTTTATATGAAATAAAGAAAAACAAAACTAAATTAAAAGAGATAAATTGTTGACAAAATAAAATATACATATAAGGAGGATTTTTCAACATATTATTAATTAAATCAAATTAAATTTAAAATTAAGGTTTGATTATTTATTCAGTGTTTATAGTTATACGAGAATTGTGTCTACTACTGTTTATACTCTCTTTTTTTATTTAAAAAATGAATTTAATCATTCATATTTTAATATCATTCAGTGTCTATAGTCTAAATTTGTAAAAACAAAAGGGAAAAAAATATTCAAAATAATATGTATAAAGTTATTTACGAGTATAGAAACTAAAAAATAAAGTTTGTTCAATTAAAAGAATAAAATAAACAACTATACCTAAACTTAAAGTTTAAAAAAATAAAAATTGATGTTTTTTTATCCGATTTTATTTGGTTGTTAAGAAATATATTTCAACGGATTCAAAAGTTTAAAATATAAAATTAATCACTCAATGTGTAAGATTAAGACATGACATATATTTATTATCTACATGAGCGATAATAAATTTTAGAAATAGTTTTATTTAACAAAAATACTTTTTTATTAAAAATATATTTAAAAACACTTTCGTCTGATATAAAGGTTCAGATTTATAATGTACAAATTTTTATTTAGTGAACGGGTAAGATGAAAGTTTAATTTTGATATAAAAAAGTTGCGTAATATTGTAGTATGTGTATAATTTTAAGAAAATTAACATATATTGAATTTTAAATTATTTTTATATAAATTATTTTATTTTTACAAAAATTGGAAAAATAATTTAACATTATTAAATGTTAAAATTTTTTTAATAAGATATTTTATTATTATCAATCTAGTGTAAATATAGAAAAAAATAATATAAACAAAGTAAATAAAAATAACTCAATTAATATCAACCGTGAAAACCTAACATACATCAACATGAAAATAGTTTGACTTTTGTTGATAAAAGAAAAATATTTGACGTTAGTTGAAAATTTGTTTTATCAAGGCAATGTTGGTCAAAAAATAATTTTAACTTTGTTAAAAAATATTTAATAAGAAAATATTGATTAACATCATATAGAAAATAACTTCGATTTATATCAATGAAAATATCATAAAAAATAACCTCCATATAAAAGTTTTTTTTATCAGGGAATATAACAAAAAATAGAAGTAGAAGAAAATATAGTTGAAGAATTTATTGTTTTTTCATTTAAAATTAATTCTATAATTCGAAATAGATTTTTAATGTAATTTTTTTGGAAATTTTATATTTTTGAAATTTATATTTTATCATAAAATATTTTAAATTAGTTATCAAAACAAATTATCATCCAAATTTCTATATTCAGTTAAAAATTTAAGAAACCTATTTTGTTATTTTAATAAAATTAAATTACGGTCTTATATTTTTTTTATGGCGTGTTGATATATCTGGGAATAGAAGACTCATAAGCAGAAATATTAATTTCCAAATATTATAAACTTTTGTTTTCTTTGTTTTTTTTTTATCAATCAATTAAAAGTCATTATAAAATTAATTTTATTCAGTTCGAGAAGGCTTCATATAAAGAAATGCGAAGGAAACGTATTTATGTTTTTATTGGATAAAAATAATAAATCGAAATACAAAGGAAAATAATTTTTTGTGATTTTTTTTCTTAAAAAAACGTTTTTCATTGTTACAAAATTTATATTACAAGGGCAAGGATGACATTAAAAATGTTTATACATTGTTTATAAATATTTATTATTTTATTTAAACAGTATCTTATTTTATATTACAAAATTGACTTTAAAGGCAGGTATTAAAATATTTTAATATTTTTATTAAAATATAAAACAAACAAATTTGATTAAACTATATTAGCTTAATTACAATGAGAGACAAAGAAAAAAATCTCTTTATTTTGTTTGTAACAGTGAAAATTTAAATACAAATAAAAAAATTTGTTATGATAATTTTTTATTTTTATTAATTTTTAAAAAGAATAAGAGAAACCAAAAAGCTACAAACACAAATCCTTGTAAAAAAATTTGTTTATAAGATCTTAAAAATCTCCTTTCATTTTTATAATTTGCATCGCATATCAATGAATAATAAATGGAGAAAAAAATATTAATTTATTTTTTAAAAATAAGCACTTAAACATACGAGTTTTTTTTTAATATATTTTCCAATATAACCAATCTCGTTTTTGGCCTATTATTGTAAAAAGAGAAAAAAAAACAATTGGTGATTAATATTTAATGACAAGGTAGATATTTTAGGTGAATATAAACGGAAATATGTACATGAATTGGTACAAGTCTTGATTATAATTCAACTAAACTTTGCCAATTTCAGACTATGTATGACATGTAAAGTTAAAACACAAATTTCGAAGCAACAACCGTTGAATAATTTGTATGGTTTGTAAATATTGATAACTTATACAAAATATAATGAGATTACTTTAATTATTATACTTTTATTACACACATTTTCTTTACATTAACACATAACTATTTTTTACTAACACATTCTTAATTCTATAAATATTTTACATTTTTATTGAATATGTTTTCCTCGTATAAAAATAAAAAAATTTAGAAATAAAATTTTAGATAAAATGTAAATTAATTTTTCATCGTGCTACAATTATTATATATAAGATAATTATTTGAGATTTGATTTTGTTTTATGGTGTGCTGCACTTGCTTTTTTTTAAAATTTTATTTATTTATAGGGTATTTATTGAAATGTCTAAATAAAAAGGTATAATATTTTGTTTGTTGTGTTAGTGAGTAAAAATAAAAATAAGATATTAAAGAAAATATTGATATTATGAAAGACCAAAAGAACACTATTGCAACCCAAAAGCTTGTTTTTTTTTTTTATATATATATAAAAAAAACTTACCACCCTCATCATTTTTTTTTAATCCTAATGTAGTAAAATCTTTATCACGTTTTCGTCCCTTGTCTCGGAAAATTGTCCTTGTCAATAATTAAAAAAAAATTATAATAATAAATAAATTCAAATAAAGCCTGTATGGACATAAAATATTATAAATTAAATATACGATTAAATAGAATGTATCAACTTAACAAACTAAAAAAAAAACAAAAACAAAAAATATCATATATATGTATAAATCATCTTAAACATATTACGCATGAGAGGAATGTAATCTTAAATGTTGTCTCTGAACATTTACTTAAATTTTGAGACAAAGTACAATATTTTGTCTTTGTCTGTTATAATTAATTTTCATCTACCATGACGATGATAATAGCCGAAAAGGGTGTAGTTTCAACATAAATTAAGTTTCCAACATACAATTTTTTTAATGAATTAGTAAAAGCTAAAGCATGAGCATTAATGTAATCCTTCTCACTCATTATTATTTATTCCCTTGAAACATAGAAACTAAACTGCAATTAGTTAATAATTAATTAGCAAGTACATCTTTAATTTCATCTTTCAAAACAAAAATATGACCATATAATATTGATAGAAAAAATAATATTGATTTTTTTCTCCAAAAAATTAACTAAATTAACAAAAATGAAATTATAAAAATTAAAGAATAATAAAACAAAATGATATATTAAATTTAATATTGTATTTAAGAAAAGTATAAGATGTTATGTTTGTTATGATAATATTATTAATCAAATGTTTATATTATGATATATTAATGAATTTATATTTCTTAAAATCTATGTAAAAATAGATTATTAATCAAATGTTTATATTATGATATATTAATGAATTTATATTTCTTAAAATCTATGTAAAAATAGTTTATATATATATATATATATATATATATATATATATATATATATATATATTCCTTTCTTATCCTATTATACGTAAAATCGCAATAGATAAAAATTTGGAAACCAATAATATAAAATATTTTAAATACAGGAGATAAGGTGTACAACATTAACCTATTTTATGATAGTGCATTTATATTGTAAATGAATGCGAAATTCCTAAATTGAGGTACAGACATTAGTAATGAGTGAAATGGGAAAAGATGGTGAAACCATTTAATGAGAAAGAAGAGACAGAGAAGTAAACAAACCCTTTATGCTCATGCAAGTAAGAAATAAAATTGGTGCATCAATCTACTTTTCATGCCATGTGGTGGGGCTGTTGGACTCATTCAAGATTTGGACCCACATAATTAAATAATGTAAACAACTACTAAGAAACAAAGGATATTAAAGAAAAGTGCAGTAAGAAATATGATTTTAAAGTATGTGGGACAGAAAACTTAAAAATAGTAGTTTAAGATTTGGTTTTCTTAAATGTGACATTTTAAAAAAGAAAGCATACTTAAACCCTATTTTCTTTCAAAAATTATTGATATATGACGTTACAGTACGGTTAATTATAGATTAAAAATACATTAATTTTTTTTAATAACATTGTATGTCGTAAAATTAGTTTTGTATTAACTAAATTTCTCTTAAACATTCCCTTTCATATTTGCTTCATGTTAATTATATAATAATTTCTATTTCTTCAAATTAAATAATGAGAAATATAAGATTATATAATACATCAAATTTAAGATATGATGTCTAGCGTTTTTATTTTTTATTTTATTAAATTTAGGTTAGAATAATAATAATAATAAACTAAGATTGTTCACTAATAATATAAAACTAAATCATATACATATGATTAAAAAAAAGTCAATAAAAACTCCCACAATTCTTATTGGATTGCATTCATTTCCTTTTTGTCATACATAATAACAACAAACACTATGAAGGCAAGTGTTACAAACCCAGATTAAGACTAAAACATAAGAGAAATGACAGATGAAATTTAGGCATTATTCTCCTGGTGACATCACATATGCACTAATTTAGACCTGAAAATGAAGCTTAATCAGTAATCATATTAAAAAATAAATAAAAAATGTGATTCATTTTTACTTGTTTTTGGTGTTTATGAAAGAGTTTAAGAAAGAAACTTACCACAAGCAAGGGATTGTAGTTGACACTGAGAAGGAAGTTGAGAAGCAATCCTGAGGGTGTTGCAGAGGCACTGACGATCCACAGCTTGAAGGGCGTTGCAGCATGGAGCACTTGGTTTGGTGGCTGCACCAGGCACCACAAATGGTGCACAAACATTCAGGTTGCTCAACTCGTTTGTGCAGGCATTGCTCTGTGCCCTAGCCATGAGGCTCAAATCTGCCACAACCAAGACCACCAACACTGCACACACTAAGACAGATTTTGGTGCTGCAGCCATGGCTCAACTATAGTTCAAATAACTTTCTTGTTTACTACTCTCACTGTGTTTGTGTGAATGTGTGGTTTTGATGTTTGCAGTGTCTGCATATATAGTGAAGTTTGGAAGCAAATGAATTGTTCATTCTGTGAGGTACCTACCTTCCTTGAGGCTCTCAGCTCACACCATTGGTGTTGCATGCATCATGCATGGCAACCTTAGCATGACGTGATCATGTCTTCAATCTTTTTTTCTTCTCTTCCTTCGCATATTCTTATCTCATATTACAACCTTTGTTAATGTATGTGTCGATATTTTGCTAACTCCTATGAGAAATTTCCACATATATAGTTTCTTACAAATATTTATATAATTAATATGCTGTCTACTTTTAGTAATTATTTTATAAATATAAATAGATAAATATATATTATATCTAAATTTGTATGAGTTATGTTATATATATAAATATATTTTATAATATGATTTAATTTTTTTATTTTATAATGCTCACCTGATACCAATCCAAAAGCCAAAAAAAAAAGGGAAAAACATTTTTATTTAAAAATAAAAATGCTAGATTAGAGTGTTCAATGGGTCTTTTGAAAAAATGTAGATGTATATTGAATATTCTCCTAAAAAAAATATCACAATTTATTGACACGTCCTAACCGCAAAACAGGTTCATAAGACTTTGAAAAACAACCCAACACTATTCCCAAACATATACATCTTCGTCGTAAAATGTTTGAAGGAACAAAAAATATTGACGATAGGTAATTTCAATCTAATTTGTGATTAATCTTGCTCCAAAAATCACAATTGTGTTTTTAGGTATAAATCAAATCTCGTTTTATTTAAACACTATTTTACAGTTAAAAATAAAATGCTCCTTTGGTTCTTAATATAACTCACTACTAACATAACCATACATACAAATAAAAATAATTAATTTTATTAAATTTTTAAAATGATAAAGTTGAAATTAAAGAAAATTTATCCACATTCTTCATTCAAATAACTTCAAAAGACAAATATGAAATTCATCTAATTATTTTTATTATTATTATCTATTAAACAAATATGCACGTATTTATAATACTTAATAGGATAAATAGAAAAAGAAAATGAATACTTCATAAAAACTATAAAATACCTTATAAAAGGTTACCAATTGTTTTTAAACTATAGGTCTTATTTTAAGGACACGAGGGAGTAACATATTTTCCATCTCTTTAAAAAGAATTTAATTCAATTTCAATTTTTCAAGTCCTATTTTTTTCCTTTATTTTCTTAAAATTCAATTTTAAATGCTATTTTAAAATTAGATAAAAAGTACAGCGGTTAGCAACTACAATTAATATTTTTTTTTCATTTTAAAAATATAATAGTTTTGTGTTTTGCAATCATTAGTAAATATTAATTATAATTACTAACCGATTTTTTGTCATTATTAAATTAAAAAAACACTTTAATTACCAAAAGTAGGGTGCTTTAGAGTTAAAAGACATAAATATAAAAGAAAAATAAAAATAAAAAACTAAAATGAATATATACTTTTTTGGAAACACAAAAAACACCTTTAAAAAATAATACTAACAAAACTCTATAATGCACTTAGAACATGTTCTTTGAATGTGACAACAAAATTTACTTAAAATTTGTAGAATTATTTCTTTAAGTAACTGTTACTTATTAAAATAAGTATTATGTTAATGAATTATGTAAAAGAGAAAGAGACATTGAAGAAAGGGGAACGAAAGGAAGAAAAAGGAAAAGGGATAAAGGACTAGGATGAAAAAGAAGAGAATTGTTGCAGAAGAAAAATAAAAATAGTATAAAATAATAAATTAGTTGGTAGGGAATTTTTATTATTATTAAAGTAAAATTGATATAAATTACTTGATAATAATTTGAAAGATTGAGATTTATATTTCATAATTTTTAAACGTAATATCATTTACAAGCAATAAATCAAGATATACATATACATGAATTTAATATTTAAAGGATCAAAATATGCTCTTTTGTAGTTGGTGGATTCTCAATGTTTTATGCATCACCTGAATGGGGAAATGATTCATGTTACACCTTTACGAGATAATGTATCCCCACATATTTAGCTGTCTTCATAATTTTTCTTAAATCATCATATTAGAATTTTTTTTTATTTAATTTGGATTATTCTCAATTAACACATTTTCTAATAATTTCTTCTCGTTAGATATAAAACTTCATTTTTTTCCTCTCTAAATATATTTGGGTGACATTTACTATAAATCTATAAATATAAGAATACGTGTAATTTTTCTGGGTAACGTGAGAATATTTAAACAATAATATTAATTTAGTACAAGTATCAATGTTTCCGTTTTTTCGGTGCCAATGATAAACACATTCTTGGGAAGTTGATTTATGAGAAATTAAACACGGAATTTGCAATCAGCTTAGAAAAAGGAAGAAAAAAAGAATTCTAAAGTTACAAAAAAGAAAAAGAAAACTAAAATAAAGTGGCATAGTGACTAAAAATATGTATTTAACTATTCTTGACGGGATCATTTGGAGATGTCCAATAGTTTTTGACAGCAAATAAAAGTTTCTCCCTTTCAAGAGGGCCATCTTCATGGTCCACAATTTGACTGTCCCAATCCATGCCACCGGCTACACTCTTTACCTTTACCAATATATCAACATCGTCTCGTATTATCACACTTCCCTCTGGTCTAAGAATCCTATCCATCTCTAGCAAAATGTCTTCCAATTCACATCTACAATACAGAAACAAACCATGTGTGTTTAGTTTTATGTTGAGACATTATCTTGGAAACTAAAAGATGCAAGAAAAATAAAAATATATACCTGTTACTGTAGAGGCTGAACACTGAATCAGCATGAATTAAGTCATACGTTCTAGGATAAGTAGACATTGCTTCACACCTGCAACATATAATGGCCACAGGCATTTTAGAGAAAAAGAGAACAGGGAATGAATTTCATCAAATAAGGATTTCAAGAGAATGCTGAGCTAACCAATTATGGTATGTTCCAATCAACCCCCTTTCATATATTGCACCAAGTGTATCAACCTTAGCCTCAACAGGAACCACATTCATGACCCAAACAGGGGAATCTATCAGAGCAGCAGCAAATCCACCCAAGTAAGCATTCATGTCTAAAAGATTGCGGTACCTCCCAGCTTTTCCTAGTTGATTGTTTACGTTCTTATAATATGATACCCTTTTCTTCCACAACTTGTTATCTTTCGAGAAAGTTTCGGGGGTAACCCCCTTTATGGTCCCCATAGATATCCTTGGTGGGGTGGCTTTTAGTCTGTCAGGCCAATTTTTTAATGTCCCACCTGCAGTTTCTTCTTTGCTGGATACATCAGGCAGAGGACTCAAACATGTTTGCATGTCAGTGTACCTGAAAAGTGAATATAAAAAACTCAAGTTAAATAAAATAACTCACGAGGTTCATATAATTTCACTGAGTATTTAAACTAGTAATTGATAAAAATAAAAATAAAAACTGACAGACAACCATTGTAAAAGTGAAAACAGATGTAATTTTCACAACATTATTTACATGATAATTTAACAAAAAGCAAAAACAGATGGAAAATGTTTACATGAAAGAATCAAACACAAGGGTAATAGGAAAATACCAGGCTTTGTCAAGGTTATTCTGTGCCTTGCAGAAAGGTCGGTTATGAGTGAGCTTGCGATTGGTTTTGCATTCCAAATGGTTTTTGGCTTTCTGCCAAATGGCTATATCATCCTTCTCCACTAGCTTGTTCCAGCACAGGCTTTTAGCTACATTCTCGATCTTCGTCTGCTCTTCATTCAAATCCTCCTTTGTTCTTTCCCATCCTTTCCAATATTTCTTCCAACGAATTGGTGGACCAGATAGAATCCAATACCCACCGGGGCGTAGAATTCGATCAATTTCATTTAGATAAAGCCCATCTAATTCAACAAATCGAAAAAAGAAGAAGTTAATTTTGAATCATGAGACTTCGTTCTTCCTAGCTTTTCAAATTTATAAAAGTTAAAACCAAAATTTACCAACGAATATAACAGTTTTTTTTAGTTTTCCTTTGATGAGTGAGAATATACCGTATTCAGCCCATGGAATAAGGCATCGTGAACAGTGTGCCATGTCAAATGCTCTGGAAGGAAAAGGCAACCTCTTTGAGGCCAGGACTCCAATTAATGCTGGAACCCCTCTTTCAAGAGCAAACTGAACTTGTGCTTCATGGGTGTCCCTGGGTGCAATTGACACTGTTATGATGTCACGTGACAGAAGATAGGCTCCCCAACTAGCAACCTGCATTAAAATTCAGTTTCTTATAATTATTCATGACAAAACAAGCTACTTTTATATAAAATATAACCGACAATTTTGAGTCAGTAAAAGTTTTTTTAATGTTTGCCCTTTTGATTCTTTGAACTGTAATACAAACAAATTAAGCAAGGTTGCAGAGGAATCTTCTTATTCTAAAGATGTGATCCGCGAACAATGTAACATTATAGTGATTAAATTTTAATTTAGTAAAATTGTTGTCATGTATTTTTTATTAGATAACGTTGCACATATTATCAAATACGTTAATCGAAAACCAAGAAAAAAGTACACCTGGTTTGTGACTAACCACACAAATTCCTCGTTTGGGAATAAACAAAATTAAAAATTAGTATTATAGTAATCAGCCAATCCAACTTGCTCCTACATCCATTTCAATCCAAACCAAAGTACAGTTGACCCAGATCGTACATCACAAATCACAGTAAACTATCATATATGAAGTTGGGAATCTCGGTCATAGTTCTATTGCCACTTGTGTATCTCATGACGTGAAGCATATACCTCGCCCGGTTTATTCCATTGTGGAATAGACTTTCTTTTTATTCAATTTTTTAGTAAAAGAGTGATAGAAAATAAACATCGTAAGATCATCAACAAAGATCTATCTAAAATTAAAAGCATAGATCTGACCAAAAAATTATTGTATCCACCAACAA